AGTATAAACGAGAGACAGGTCACCCCATACCTGAGTATCTGCTGCCACCTGGTGGTTGCAGGCGGTCTGAGCCTCGTAAGCGGTGATTCACAGCTCTTGGGTGACACCTTGTGGAGTGGTACTCATAAGCAGCACATTTCCACCCAAAACAAATTTCCGGCCTTGGTCACGTTTGGGAAGTTCCTAAATTATGGGAAATCAAGGTCCAAAATCTGAGCGTTCTTTTAAGGGTCAACCTCCTTTGGAAACACCAGCTGGTTTCACGTACAACACTTTGGAATGCCCTCTTACAAATATCTAGGAAAATGGACCCACATTGAACCAAGATGGTCACAAGCGGCAATGTCCCAAATGCGGGTCCTTTGAAATGCCTAAAATAATTCATTTATACGCACAACTGGAAAAAGCCGGTTTTAGAACCAGACGAATTGAATGGGAGACATATCTTCTGTCTATCCTGGCTGAAATCTGATAATAAGAGATTCGAAAGTGTAACAGAGTAGTCACCCCTCCTCCCGTAGATATGGAAGAGAAATTCTGACACTGGGGAATATGTAACAGAGGGAAAGGCCTGAAAAAAATAAAAAAAGAAAAATATTTTCTGTCTCTTTAAAACATCCTCCATCCCTTTTTGAGAACTAAAGCCTGCATCCCTCTCCCAGGCCAGTGGCTGGAAGGGGCAGGGTAAATCTTTTGTTATCTGTCCAACAGGAGATGGCCCAGCCGACCTGGTAAAGGGAGGTCCTGGGCAGAGGTCACGAGATTCTCTTCAGCACAGACGGGATGATCAGAATCATCAACCGTAGTTGAACAGCAATTGCCTGAAGCTGAGAACCCAGCCTTTAAAAGGTCTGTATTTCTGCTAATTAGTAGGACACGGCATTTCAGGCAGTAGTCTCCATCCTTCTCCTTTGCTGGCAAAGTAATAAAACTTCTCTTTCCTTCTCCTCAAACTCCTTGTTCTTGTTCTTCTGATGCAGCCTCAAGGACAAGTGGCCGAGCTTTTGGTAACAAAAGTATTTTTTAAAAAAGGATCTCTGGCAGGGCATGGTGGCTCATGCCTGCAGTCTTGGCTACTCGGGAGGCTGAGGCAGGAGGCAGGAGGCTCGCTTGAGCCCAAGAGTTTGAGGTTGCTGTGAGCTATGCATTGCACTCTAGCCCCAGGTGACAGAGCAAGACCCTATCTCAAAAATAAATAAATAAATAAAAAGGAGCTCTATGGTCAGAAGTCAGCCTAATTTATTAAAAGCTGATATTTAAGCTCTCTCTATATATTTTAAAAAGCTTTTCTGGTTTTTCTCTTTTGGATCCTGTTTCTGGGATTTTTTTTTTTTGAATGAACGGAAACCCCTTTTTATTGTTTTATTTTATAATTTTATTTTTTTGTATTTTCAATCCATTTACTTTTGAAGCTATCAAATTTTCTCATTCAAGCCTCCTTTTCTGTGTACGTACATGCAGAGAGCCTTCTGAAAATCAACTAAAAGTCTTTGCCTTCTTCAATCTACTGACACTCTTGAGAACACTGGGATGTCTCCAGACAACCACTTTCTCCTGGGAACAGACTTCGGAACCTCCTCCCAAGGACCAGTGTTTTTCGGACATAACAAAATCCAACTCATTTGATCTAAGGTGAGACTTTTATTTGATAGCGTTCATGTCCCACTGCAAATATTTATCTAATGGAAGGTATTCTGTTGCCAGCTTCAGCTGTTTTGCCTCGGCTAGGGGTGTGCCTGGCTGCATATTCCTCTCAACAAAAGACACGACTGCGTACATTTTGTCACACTTGAAGGTGGTCATAACGTTAGGAGAATCCGCAGTTAAACATATAATACTGTCCTTTGGTGAAACCCCTTTTTTTAAAACAAATGTATGGTCCCTCTGCTTCCCATCTTGTTGGCATGATTTTTGCTGAGAAAATGTAAAACTTTATTGGCCTTTTTAAAGCTTAAAATCTCCCCACATTGGCTCTGGTAAGGCTTTTTCTTCTATTGCCTTCCACTTCTGCTCCTTCTTCCTTATGCCATCTTTGATACCACACGTTGAAATACGTAGAAATCTAAAGGGGACTTCCGGTGGCCCTGAGACACCCCTGAGGAACACAGAAAAAGCTGCCACATGCACACACACACACACACACACACACACACACACACACACACTTCGGGGGCTTCTGTCTCCCTCACAGACTCCCAAGAGTTGTGGGCAGACTTCTCTCAGGTTTAAAGCTCTGCTCGCTTTTGCATTGAGTTTCCTATCTCTTTGGCTTTTGGGGTACCAGGGATGACTTTGTATGCAAAAGATAACTTGATCTTTGTGTGTGTGATGCCTGGCAAGTCACATGGCCAGATCAGAGATCACTCTGGCTGCTGGGTTCATCAGGGATAGGCAGAGGACAGGGAACCAGTGAGGAGGCGGTTGTGGTGGTATTACTGAAAGTTCGGTACTTGTCCTCGAGGCCGAATCAGTGAGCACCAAGAACGAGGACAAGTCCTTTGAGGAAAAGGAAAGAGAAGTTTATTAATTTGCCGGCAAAGAGGAGGGCAGCAGACTATCATCTCAACAGACCAGCATCCTGTTTTAAAGCAGAAAAACGGGGATTTTTAAAAGGGGGTTTACAGTGGAAGCTGGGTTCGGGTCTGTGTGACCAGTGTCACATGTCGTGGCTTTGGGCTATTGTTGTTTAACTATAATTGGTGGCTTCCACAGACCTTGACTATGATCTTGTGACAATTCTGTTGAGCCATCTCTTGTGGTTTACAACACTAGGAAACAAACAGCAAAGAACATTTTTCTGCCCCTTTGATTACTGGCCTTGGGAAGGAATACAGATTTAATTCCCCAAATTGCGGGGGGGGAGGGGGAGACAACTCGGAAAACATTTCGTTGCCCTTTCTCTGACCTTTACCTCTGTTATAGTGGTCCAAGTAACCTTGGCACAGGCTTTGCCCAAATTGGTTGAGTTCATCCATCAGCCAATCTGTCAACAAACATTTAATGAACCCTGGCTCTGTGTCAGCCCCAGTGCTGTATGCTGGGGGTACAGCAGGGAAGGGGACAGACATGGTCCCTGCCTGCACAGAGTTCGCAGCCTAGTCAGGGACACAGCCAGGCAAGCAGGCAGCTTATGTCTGAGGAGGTCAGGGATGTGATGCAGAAAGCACAAGGTCTGCAGCGGGGAAAAGCTCTCCTCCTCCATATCTCAGCCGTGTCCTAAAGAATGACAAGTCACCCAAGAGGGGCCAGGCATGGTGGCTCCCGCCTATAATACCAACACTCTAGGAGGCTGGGAGGCAGGAGGATCATTTGAGGGCAGGAGTTCAAGACCAGCCTGGCCAAGATAGTTGAGACCTCATCTCTACAAAAAATAGAAAAATTAGCTGGTTCCTTGTCCTCTGCCTATCCCTTGTGAATCCAGCAGCCAGAATGATCTCTGATGTGACCATGTTACTCCCTGTGTAAAACTATCTGTGGCTCCCTATTACCCCCCAGAAGCCAAACTCCTTACTGCGCTAGCATGGCCTTCACCTTCTAGTCTCTGCCTGGTTCTCCAGCCCCATCTCTCACCACCCTCCACCATGTGAAATACTTTCAGTTCTTCAACCGGGCTGTTCTGTTCTCTGTGTAGACCACTCTACTCCTCACTTTTTGCCTGGCTAAACCCTTAGTTCCCAGCTGAGACAAAAGCCTTCCCTGCCCCACCGTTATGGAAACCGCAAGGGGGTTTCTGCCTAGGTCCAGTTGCTCATCACACGAACATCCAGTCATTGAGATTACGAGGACTGCCAAGGAAAAAGAGACTTTTTAATATGAAAGCTGTCTCGTTGGGAGAAGAGGAGAAGGTGCCTCAAAAAAGGAGGAGCCATGTGCCTTGGCAGATGGTGAGTCTTGGCTCAGGAAGTCTGCCCCGGGCCTTCAGAATCTCAACTCCTTTGTCTTGAAGAAAATCCATCAGTTCTAGGAAACAACTCAAAAAGTCAAGTAGTTAGTTACGGTAGAGCATTATAAAAAACATTTGAGGGTCATTGAAATTTGTTCATGGAGCGGATTACTCCACCTTCCCTGCACTTCCTCCACTCTCACGGTATGGGTCCTTGCTCCTTGCTCTGCCGCCCCCATAACCCACAAGCTCTGAGAGGGCAGGTCCCTCCTGCTGTCTTGCTGGCATCCAGCAAGGGGCTTGCCATGTAGCATGCTGCGTGAAGGAACTCTGGGTTTGAGTGTGGACGCCCCGGCAGGGCTGTCTTGGGGCCGCTGTGTCCGCAATGCTCAGCATAGGCCCAGCACCCAGAGCGCTCATTGTCCCAGGAAAAGGGCAGGCTGGTGGGCAAACGTGAGAAACGCTCATTATAGCTCAGGGGAGTGAAGTGAGGGACGGATGACGAAGCAAAGTCTGGGGGCTCTGGGAAACTCTTAATAAATTAAAACAAACCCGTAAAACCCCGGCGCGGTGGCTCACGCCTGTAATCCTAGCACTCTGGGAGGCAGAGGCGGGAGGACTGCTTGAGCTCAGGAGTTCAAGACCAGCCTGAGCAAGAGCGAGACCCCGTCTCTACTAAAAACAGAAAGAAATTAGCCAGGCAACTAAAAATGTATATATAAAAAACAATTAGCCGGGCATGGTGGCACACGCCTATAGTCCCAGCTACTGGGGAGGCTGAGGCAGAGGAGGATCGCTTGAGCCCAGCAGTTGGAGGTTGCTGTGAGCTAGGCTGACACTATGGCACTCCAGCCCGGGCAACAGAGCGAGACAGTGTCTCAAAGAAAAAAAAAAAAAATCCCGAGGTGGGGTCCCACTGAAGCTGAGTCACCAGATACGACCGGGCCACTCACAAAGATGGCGGCGAACGGCCCCCGCTCCCAGCTCCTTACTGACATGGCCGCCCTAAGGGTGGGTGAGTCTGCGAGTCGGAAGTGACGCAAACCGGAAGTCCGGCCTGCCGCTAGGCCGCCGGGGCGCTCAAGTCGGCGGCGGCAGCGGGTTGCGAGGCAGGGGGATGAGGCGGGCGGAGCGGCTCTGGGGCGCGGCGGTGCTGCAACTGCTGCTGGCCGCCCGAGTGGTGGCGGCGTTTGAGCCCATCAGCGTGGGCATCACCATCGGGGCCGTGTCGCTCCTCACCGGCTACCTGTCCTACAAGGACATCTACTGCCGCTTCTCCGAGTGCTGCCGCGAGGAGCAGCCGCTCAACGCCTCGGGTACGGCGGGGGCGCGGGTTCGAGGTCCGGCCCCGGGGCGCTCTGGGCCGGGCGGGGCACGCGCAGGGGCGGCTCCCGCGTACGCGTCGGGCGCGCGGCATCCAGCCGGCGGTCATCCCGATCGGGTGGGCGGGAGGACGGACGGGGCAGCCTGGCAGTCGTTCACGGGAACTCTGCCCGGACTCCAGCCCTGGCAGCAGTGCCTTCGGAAAGTCTCCAGATCGTGGGACTCTGCCCAAGTACCTTTCTAAATGTTTGCGTTCCTTGGGATCACCGGGCGAAGAGACTGAAGTAGCGTGGCCAGCCTTTCCGCGCCATGTCAGCTCTGTTAAGTAGGTTTCAGACGTGCGGAGTGGCCCAGGAAGCCCACATTTGGTCCTTGGTTTTCTTACAAGCCATCAGGGGTAACTGGGGAAATAGCATGCAGCTGAGTCGAGAGAGTTCATCCTTGGATGAATGAATGTATTTAGCTTCCTTATCGGACACTTCAGTGTTAAGAACGTGCACAGAATGCATTTCCTTGGAAGTGGCATCATTTGACTTTGCCTCAGTGTTGGCCCTGGGGTCTGGCTGAATCTGTCTCTAATCTGTGCCTCTCACTTTGGCCAGTTGGGAAGGTGCTGCTTTTCCAGTACATTTTTAATGTGTGTTTCTTTCTCTGTTCTGGGGCTGGCTCCTGCAGCGCTGAAGCTGGATTTGGAGGAGAAACTGTTTGGACAGCATGTGGCCACGGAAGTGATTCTCAAGGCGCTGACTGGCTTCAAGAACAACAAAAATCCCAAGAAACCACTGACCCTTTCCTTACACGGCTGGGCTGGCACAGGCAAGAATTTTGTCAGCCAAATTGTGGCTGAAAATCTTCACCCAAAAGGCCTGAAGAGTAACTTTGTCCACCTGTTTGTATCGACTCTGCACTTCCCTCACGAGCAGAAGATAAAACTGTACCAGGCAAGAGAACCCACTATTACCTAGTCCACAGGCCACTGGGACTGGCCTGGGCGACCTGCTCACTAGCTCTGGCTTCTGCTTCTCTTTCCTTTGCGTTGCAACAGCCCCAGGCTCCACGGAGTTAAGGCACACTTAGTCCAGGGTGGTTACGAAGCTCTCCTACAACTGTTTTCTTACTCGATTCCAAAATAATCCGGTGCGATAGGGGATATTATTTCTATTAAAAGATGGAGCCAAGAGAGGCGAGGTGATTTATCTTTGTGACTTTGTGGCAGAGCAAGAACTTGAACCCAGATCTCCCAGCTGCATGGTAGCCACCTTCTCCAGTGAGTGAAGGCACTCAGCATTCCCAGCCGAGAGCGCTGTGAGGTGGGGCAGTCTCAGGGGTGTGTTTGGGCGTGGCTTCGTTTAATGCTCCCCACCTATGGTACTGAGTGTCGCCTCTGCATTTTGCAATATAGATTTGAGGATTTTTTTTCTCCTAAACAGTTTTATTCCTTTTGTTTCTCCCTTCTTTCAAGTCCTTGGCGCTGCTTTCTTCAAAGAAAGACTCAGAGAACTTAAACCTTCAGACCATTCTCCTTTTGAGATGTTCTTTCCACATTTAATTTCTATAAAGTTGTCTAGGAAGGTTAATTCTCATTTAAGTGAATGTCATCCTTGTCAAGGTTAATAGTCCTGCTGTTAGGTGGGGACTGAAAAAAGAAATAGAAACTTAACTGAACAAGGAAGTGGAAGTGGGTGTTTGCCATACAAACTGTCCAGGCAGGGCAGATTACCAAAAGGAAGGAATAATTTTCTTGTTTTCCACATTCTTTCGCAAATCTCTAGAAATATAATAAGGTAGACAAGGGTGAGTCTGGGGGAGTTTCATGGTGATGGCCTTTCACATTTTAGGTTTAAGGGCTTGTTGCTTGTGTGTTTTTGTGTTTGTTTCAAGAAAGCATTGGAACAAATGCTTTTCACAAAATGTCATCTATGTCAGCTCCTTTGTTCATTGCACCAGTACAAGGCGTTGGGCTTGGGCGCTGTGCAGGTCTTAATCTAGTTCCTTATTCCTCAGTATGTCTGGTAATATTTGAGATTGAAATCCACAGTGAGATGAAAACTATGGGTTGGTTAACAGTGAATGATCATGGATCTTGTACCTTTTAAACCTTTAAAAAGTCACATTTACCATGTCATTTGAGTTAGGAAAAAACTCCTCTGCTTTTTGGCACTGATCTCTCTGCCAATTTCTACTTTTTATAGATAAGGTTTTGAAAAAGCTAATGAATGGGTTAGGGTGCAGTTTCTAAGAGCTCTTAGTTAAACCCCTGAGAGCTCTGATCTTGCCTTCGGTGCACAAGCAGCAGGGTAGCGCTTCTGCTCCTCTCGGAGCATCCTTTGAGCCTCTGCATCCTATTTCTTTTACGGTGAGTCTAGGACCAGTTGCAGAAGTGGATTCGTGGTAATGTGAGTGCATGCGCGAGCTCTGTTTTCATCTTTGACGAGATGGATAAATTGCACCCTGGGATCATCGATGCAATCAAGCCATTTCTAGACTACTACGAGCAGGTGGACGGAGTGTCTTACCGCAAAGCCATCTTCATCTTTCTCAGGTGAGCAGGCAGCCGTTTCCTGGGGGCACATAAGCCCTCATTCTCCCAATGCTGGGATGAAGTTCTGGCAAGCACCAGTATTTTGTTTGCCAGGACAAAAGTGCCAGCTTGGCAAAAGTCACTTGCCCACTTCTTTATTTTTTGGTTGCCAGTTTCAGCGTGGCACAGAACATGGGCAAACGAAATGAGTGAAAGAAATAATGGCTGATAACAAGCAATTTTATTCACTGTGCGTGTGTTTCTGAGGGTTATAAAAAGCCAGAGCTTTATCCCAGCAAGTTCTGAAGAAACAGATTTTAAATTCCTTCGGGGCAGATGCTTTTTTTTTTTTTTTTTTAATTTTTTTGTCTAGTAGCACATAGTAAATATTCCTTGATTAAGAATAAACCTTAGAGCAGTTTCATTTCCTGGTAAGATACAGAAGTCTTAATATGTGATTATAATTTTTGTTTCTCTGGCAAATTCAGCAACGCAGGTGGGGACCTTATAACTAAGACGGCTCTTGACTTTTGGCGGGCAGGAAAAAAGAGGGAAGACATTCAGCTGAAGGACCTGGAACCTGTGCTGTCTGTGGGAGTCTTCAATAATAAACACAGTGAGTCCACAAGAGTTAAGAGCCCCTTAACTCAGCCAGCAGAGAGCCGTCTCCTCTCTCACTGAGTGTTTCCCAAAGCCACAGACTCCCACTCACCTCAGTGGCTTTGCTAAAATAAAGTAGGGAATTTTCTTAGGGCGATTTTATTCTAGAAACCAGTTAGCAAGGTGTTTAGCTGAGTGTTATGTCAGCTTTTTGCACACTGACAAAAAGAATCTCTGGTCCAGGTGAGGTGGCTATGCCTGTAATCCTAGCACTTTGGGAGGCTGAGGTGGGAGGACTGCTTGAGGCCAGGAGTTTGAGACCGGCCTGAGCAAGAGTGAGACCCTGTCTCTGTTAAAAATAGAAAAATTAGCCGGGTGTGGTGGCCTGCACCTGTAATCCCAGCTACTCGGGAGGCTGAGGCAGGAGGATCCATTAAGCCGAGGGGGGTTGCTATGAGCTGGGCTGATGCCATGGCACTCTAGCCTGGGTGACAGAGCAAGACTCTGTCTCAAAAAAGAAAAAAAGAATCTCTGAAGGGGTAAGGACATGAAGAGAATGTACTGTGGGTCACGATCAGAGCGGCCCCATGAGAGCTTGGCCAAGTGGCCGTGATGGGCAGGAAACGTAGCTGTGTCTCGTTTCGCAGGTGGCCTGTGGCACAGTGGACTGATCGACAGGAACCTCATCGATTACTTTATCCCCTTCCTGCCCCTGGAATACAGACACGTGAAAATGTGTGTGCAGGCCGAGATGAGGGCCCGTGGTTCTGCCATAGATGAAGACATTGTCACGAGAGTGGCAGAGGAAATGACGTTTTTCCCCAAAGACGAGAAAATCTACTCAGACAAGGGCTGCAAGACTGTGCAGTCGCGGCTCGATTTCCACTGAGCTCTTACCCAGATGGTTTAAGAGGCAACAGGGAGGCTGAGCACACCAGGGCCCTGCCTTTCAGAAGCACTTTGAAGACTTCTTCAGGGTTTTGCACATTTGCACCTGTGGACTTTCGGGATAGAGAAGTTTCTAAGAGTTGAAATATGAAAATGTGCTAATCTGTCCCATCCACCTGTCGTTTTGCAACATGACAGAAGTCCAGCTGTTCTTCGCAGTTGAAGATGGACTTTTAAAATTCCCTTCACACTTAACGTTACCTTAACGAAAGTGCCTGAAGACAGCTGTGCGAGGCAGGCCCAGGGATCCTTGGCGACCCATGGAACCCACAGCTCAGCAGCTCCTGGGGGGGCGGCAGCCGAGGCGCATTCGGTCTCCTGCTGAAAACACTCTAGCTGTTTCGTTTTCTTTGCACAGGGAACCTTCACTGACTTGGAGTATTTTCAGTTGGGATAGGTGGTTTCTGCAGGTGCAGATGGTAGCACTCTTTTTTTTTTATCAGATAGCATTCTTATTTCAATTGCCATTTTTAACATCAGTGGTTTTAAGACTGCCTCAAAGCTTTTAGCATTTGGCCAGTTTTAACTCACACCCACGCTAGTCTTTCCCTCTTCCTCGCTGAATTAGTTATGAAAGGTAAAGTTTGTTCAACTGTGAATTGCTAATTGTCAAATCCATGCCTTCTCCCTGTTAAAGAAACAGATAAGGTGATTGCATAGATGGCCTAAGCCGTCTGCTGAATTTGCTCAAATGCAGATTACCCCATCGCACTCCTACTCCCTGCTGAATTGCGTTTTGAAGGGTGGAGCTCAGAGAGACATCTGAACACAGACAAGCTCCTCAGAAATTCTGAACCACGGCCCCTAAATCTACCAAACCACCTAACCTTGGAAAGCAAAATCAGCTGCATTGTTTTTGACAAAATGTTTTGGTAAAGGCTTCTTCAGGCCGAGGGGGAAATTCTACATTTTTCCAGTCTGCGCCATCCAGCGAGGGGAGAGCAGCTACAGAGGCGAGCGCAAGCTGGGCGCCCCAAGCCTTCCTGGGAAACGCGAACAGGCCTTGTCTTCTGATGGTAAAGAACTTCAGGATCAGGGCCCAATGGACACTGGGCAGACTTACTCAACCCTAATTGTGCAAAGAACCACCTTCTCTGACCCCCTCTTTGGCCTTTTCCAGGGCTACAGGCAGCACCCCCGCCCAGGGTCTCTCGTGGGGCTTCTAGCCGGCAGCCTCTGGATGAGGAGAGCAGGGCCCACTGGACCGTCACGGACGTCACAGCGCGTGCACAGCAACCGCTGAGCACTCTTGACCTGTGCTGAACTGTCCCCATGGGCTGGGGGTTCGACCTGAGGCCTCTGCAGCAGACAGGACAGACAGGTCCCTTCCTCCTGTCCTTTCTCTGGCTGCTGATTCCAGCCCTGGTCGTGGGATTCCTCGCCCATCTCACAGTGTCAGCCCCAGCCTGCCTTGGACCACACCTTGTCCTGAAGTTCACTCGCTGCTGGATTTCTCCAGCCATATCACAGAGTGAATCAGAGTGAGACCACTGGCTTTGAGTTTGAGTCCTTGGTTCCCATGGTGAGCACTTGTCTGTTATACTTTATATGTGGGTCAGTCTCTCACTGTTGGAAATCTGCACACCATGCTCATTCTCCATGATTGACATGTGCCCACACTGAGCAGCAGTCAGCTGCAGATTCTGCATTGCCAAAGAAGTGCGAGTACTGTACGCTAGAAATGCTGGAGTTCGCAAGGATGTGTATGTTTTTATAATGTCTTCTGAACCTCAGATAATAGAAATATAGGAAATTGCTAATTTTATAATAAAACACGGGAAGGACATAAAATGGAATAACTGCTTATTCCTTTCTCAGATATTCTTAAATGGCATGAATGTTGTTGAATGTGTGGCAACGTACGGTCACAATCATAGATCAAACAGGGTCATTTGATAAGGATGCCCTATGTGGCAGCGCCAGGCGGGACTGCCCTGATCACTGGGCAGTAAGACTAAGGTTCCACCGAGTGCGACTCATCCTGTGTCCCTCCTATAGTCACAATGCAGCTGCAGACACGCCCTTAGAACAGTGCAGCATTTTCATGTATAAAGTGTGGTAAGAGTGAATTTTTGACATGCAACTGCCATATAGGGTATCACAGTCTGAAAAACACCAAGGGTAAAGCTTAAAATTTTTAGTACATATTCTCAAATTGGAACTAAGTTACATTTCTTTTATAACCTTTTGGATATCTGGTCGAGCAGAGACAAGATTTCCGTTTACAGTGACACGATAAACTCAACACGTGTTGGCCACCTTTGGACTGGTACTGACTGTAGCTTGAAAAGGCCACGGCCCAGCCTCCCCCACCCCTCATAAAATATGGACAAGAGTTTGAATTGACCTGGATATAAAATACTATAATAAAGCCTAGATTTTATGATATGAGATGTCCCTTGCTAACTTCCCCCCCCTAGTTTATTTGGTAACAAAGTTTGGAATAAAGATGTCAACAGCTCAGGTGTTGTTAGACTTACCGTACCCTGGACGTGCAGGTTGGCAGCCTTTGCATCCTACAGAATCAGTATTTACCTTAAAGGCTGTTAGCCCCAAATAGGAAGTTAAATTGGATTAGGTGATGATATTTTCACCAGAGTGATGGACTTTCTAAAAAATATATTCTGAAATTAATGTAGGAAGGAAATTGAGGCACTGGGAAAATACGACTCACCTGACATTCATTCTCCCATCCAAGTTCTAACCAGGCCTGACTCTGCTTAGCCTCTGAGATCAGAAGACATTGGGCGCGTTCAGGGTCTTTTGGCCGTAGACGCTGACATGCTGAACTGATCTCAGATAAGGAAACCTAACTGCCTCGTGTTCCCACCCCAAACTGGTAAATAGCGGAATCCTAGTCATGTTAACCCAGTCTCAGCTCAATCACAGCTAACCTGGTCTGTCTCGTCAGTGAATTGCTAACACCGACCCTCTTCGCAGGACTAAGGATTAGCTGATTTATTATTAAATAGGAAGTTCAAACCCTTCTCACCAACCCCCTTAATTTCTCATCTGAAGGTTCTTGAGCCCCATGAGGCCACCTTCCCAGCTCTGGTTCTCAGCCTAATGCAGTTTCTACTCCACCCCACACTGCCTCATCTACAAAGACTGAACTTAACAAAATTGTCAGGAGACCCGTGTTCCCTAATTAGGGGCTCCCAGGTGCCGGGGCTGCAATTTTCAAATAAGAGGTTAAACCTAATCTGATCCCTGGGGACATGGCAGTCCAGCTTTAGCTCAACACCAAGAGCTTTCTAAGACTTGGAGCCTGGGCCTCCCTAGAAGAACCCCGTCCAGGCTGGGTAGCTGAGAGGCAGAGGGGTCCTGCGTTAGACCTGCAACCGGGGTGCCAACTCAGCTTCTGTGCCTGCAAAGTTGTCCCTACCAGCACTCTGCACAGCAGCCACGCCATGGAGCCCTGCCCATTTGCAGGCACACACGTTACGTAAAACAAGGTAGGTTTAGTCTCCTACAGCTCCGTACTCCTGGCATCTCAGCTGGACTTGAACTCCACAGCTGGTGTCCAGAGCTCCATGAGCCCCAGTAACAAGAGTGCGATTCCCGTGCAGCTGGGCGAGGGGCCAGAGCTGTCCTAGGGTCCTCAGAGTCCTGCATGAGACTTCGTTTCATTCCGACCTGAACTGCACCTGCTCGGTCCTCATCACAGCTTGAGCTCACAGGGCCTTGTGGGGGGGGTCGGGGGGTCTCTCCCCCTTAAAAAATGTATTCACAAGTTTTCACACACAGAATTTTATTGCAAAATGGTATCTGTTTGCATTTAGAAATGAAAACACTGTTCTCAGAAGGGTCAGCTAAGCTTTCCTAGGTTTGGGGTGGGTCCTGATTCAACTTAACTAGCGATAAATGAGGAAAAATGTTTCAATATGGCAAAATTCACCGCGTGATGGTTTGAATCCAGCAGAGAACGCGCAGGGCTCACGGCTCGCCCGGGAGCGGAAAGTGGAGACGGGCCTGCCCCTGCAAAGCCGAGCACTGGCAAGCGCCGAGCTGGAAATACTTTTCTCCCAAAAGACTCCGGTTCTGACAAATGCTCACAGCGTTGCCGCGACCACTCCCTTGGAAAGGACATTGCGGGTTCGTCTGTGGTGCTGAGCGCGTCCTCTTACTTGTCCCTTTATCCAAGCACCGTGCTGCCCCTGGGCAGGTCTGGCCAGTGCTCCAGCCTTGTCCCCAGGAATGCCGTCCTACAGAATCCACGCCAGGGACTCATGCTTGGGCTTTTTTGCAGTAAAGATATCACAGTGTATGTTATAATGACGGGAACATAAAAGACACACAAAGCCAATTACTTAGAATCTGAGAAGTTTCTCATAATGTTAAAAACCATTTTAAATAAAGGTATCACATTTTCAATAAAACTTATTTGTCCCTCCTTGAAACAGAAATACTTGAAATTAAAACATAATTTTAAAAAAATCAGGAGCCCTGGAATGGGTGTGCTGGGAGCTGGCTCTGTCCTCTGAAGGCTCTGGAGGCCTCATGTCCCACCCCTGGTCCCTAAGGTGCGATGGCCTGCAGGCTCCGGGTGAAAACAGCGCCCAGGCGCAGCCCTGCCACACAGCGCAGGGAACCCCCATCCCACTCCTCTCCCAGGGACAGGAGCGGGAGGCGTGGGGAAGGACTGAGTGTCGTTTCTTCAGCTCGAAGCAGTGACTCCCGGGCTGTCAGTCATCATAATAATAATCTAACTTGGTGAACACAGTTTTGCAGCCTTTATCAGAGAAAACTCTCTCCTCTTTGGGGAAAAATGTCATCTCCTCAGCCACTCTGCTTATAATGTCCTCGTCAATTTCATAGCCTCGAGACTGCATTTCGACTCGGATGCACATTTTCAGGTGCTTGTATTCCAGCAGGAGGAAGGGGACAAAATAATCAATGAGGTTCCGGTCAATTAAGCTGCTGTGCCAGAAGCCACCTGGGGAAAGAGAAGAGGTGCTGGTCATGCGCGTCCATCCACGCCCCGCCCACCACACAGCTGCGGGGGTCGCCTCCTGGGCGTCACCCCGCCCACCACACATCTACTGGGTGTCACCCACCATGAGTCTACTAGGTGTGCGCTGTCCCCGGCTGGGCGGGGGCCCTGGAGGTAGAGCAGTGCACCCTGCCCAGGGCAGCGCCGGATCCAGAGAGGAAGGCGATGTTGCCAGGGGACCTCACCAACAGACATCTCTGTGTTGTGACACTTCTGTGACGGCAAAGGGCAGGGTGACGCCACAGAGTGCAAAGGGACACCTGTACACTGTGGGCTCGGGAAAGCCTCCAAGGTGTGCCTTAGCGAGGGCAGGTGGCAAGGGTCACAGCAGGGTGGGGAGGGACACAGGTTCACGGGCTGGCAGAGCCTCAAAAGAGCGAAAGCGAGAAGAGCTCCCAGGGACGGCCTCTACTGGCCACGCCCCTCCATGCTGGAAACTCGCCTGCAGGGCATCTGCGGGACCCAAGCCGGACTCAAGAGTGACGGTGTGTGGAGACAACACCACTATTCCTGGTTCCTGGAACTCCTGAGCCAGGACCTGCTCCCTCCTGAGACGACACGGCACCCGGTGGGTCACCCCTGAGGCCATAATGTGTCTTTGCATGAAACGTTTCCCTTCCACTTTGCCATTTAATTCTGCGACTCAGCTCCCAGATGCCTGGGTGCTTTTCCTTCCCAATAGTGCTTTGCTCACAGCTGGTGCTCAGTAAGTGCTGGGCTGACTGGGCGGGGTGAAGGGTATGGATTGTGAACAGTAACAAGCGAGACAGCTCACTCCTGAAGGCCTACTCTGTGCCGGGTCGCCTTGGGCCTGGACACGGCCCTCATGGGTTTACCATCCCACGTGAGGAGACACTCGCAGACGGTGAACACCATGAAGCGGACAGGCGAGGACAGCAGAAGAACAAGGGCCAGGTGGTCAGGCCAGGCCCGGCTGAGGGCTGCCTCTGAGCAGAGACTGAATGAGGACGACCCGGCCATGCGGTGGCCGGGCTGGAGTGTTCCGGCAAGACAAGGGACCTCAGACTTGAGGCTTTAAAAACCATCTACTGCCCCTCGGCCCGAATGCCTCCCTGGAGCTCCACTGGAAGGTCCAACCACCTGCTCCATATCCCTGCTCAGATGCCCCCAACACGTCATCCTCACTGAACATGCCCGTCCCCAAACACGCCCGTCCTGCCCTCCGTTCCCCCCAACGGCAGTGCCCCCTTCCAGTCCCTCAAGCCAGATCCTTGCTCCTTCTGTCTCATTCCCACATACGACCCTGCAGGAAATCCTCTCGTTTCCACCTTCAAAACACAGCCAGAATCCACTTTGTCTCGCCACCCACCGCTGCCACGCTGGGCTCCCTTCAGTCCACTCCCCACCCGAAAGCCAGCAAGGTCCTGCTAACGCCCGTCCGATCGTGTGGCTGCCTGCTCAGAACCCCACAGGGGCTCGCTCTCAACTTGAATAAACCCATGGCTCACCACGGGCCCCCAGGCTCTCCACGACCTGCACCCACCCCAAATCTCCTCTTATCTCACCTCCCGTTCCTCTCCTGTTCATCCTGGAGCAGCCACAGGGACCCCAAGGACATGCTCACCTCAGGCCCTGGTACCAGGACGTAAGCTCTACAGGACAAGAATTTCTGTTTTTGTGCACTGCTGTGTCCCTACTCCCTGACACCCCGTAGATGCTCAGTAAATATCTGTTGCACCAATGTTCAGCCACCTGCCTGAGGCCTCGGTTAGGGAGCTGCTGAGCCAGGTCTGCCCAATTCCCAAGCTTGTGCTCTTAAATCATTTCGCCACCTCC